GACGCCGCCCCCCTTCGAGCTTCGAGCTGCGGATCGTATCGAGCGATCGCTCCGACGCCCTTGATACCCTCCTCCCAGCCTGTGCTCGGGGAGGGCGAACAAAAACCAAGAGGACAAGAGTGAGAGAAGAAGGGCGGTGCACGAAGGATGATGATGCACCTCGGGTGGGGGGTCGCCCCTCCCCCCCCTTCTCGCGCGGTCTCCGATCTCTCGTGATGCCCTCCGAGCTCAGCTGCCCAGATATGCGCGTGTTGAAAAACGCAACACGTGCCGTGTTCAGAACGTCCGTGAGGGAAAAAAACACATAGACATAATCAATCGTCGATCCCCCGGAAAATATGGGAAGTGGTGGGGAAAACAAAAACCCAGAACATCTGGAAAAATATCGGGGATCCTGTGTGTATTTATTTGTGTGTCCCAGGGCCCCTTCAGAGAAGACGTCAGCTGCAGCCGCGCTGTTCGCGCTGGGGTCAGCACGCTGCGTGTTGGCTCGGCACGTGTTGGCCCACGTTTTGGCGAATGTATCGCGCCAGACCTACGTTTTCAGTACGTGTTGGGCCCCGTGTCAACACGCTACGTGTTGCGCGTTGCGTATCGGGCCGGCTAAGCCTCCGAGATGCCAGTCGTGTCGAGCGGGAGGAGGGGGGGGAGAGGAGGTTTGGCGTTCGGGGATCGAGGATCGACATTTCTGGGCATCCTTTTCTTCTTCTTCTTCTTCTTCTTTTGGACCTTGTTGGGAGGCCTCGCGTCTCCGAGGCTGGGTCCGCCTCGACGTTCAAAAGAGAACAGACGTGCGTACGTGTACGTGTACGTGTCTGTTCTCGTGGGTTTGTGCGCGGTCGCCGCGGAGTTGCGAGACTCGGCACTGCGTGACCTCGCTGCACCCTCGCACGCAGGTCCTCCGTGCCACTCCCGACTCGCTGCCCGTGTAGGCCTGTGCTCCGGCAGCGTGCACGATCTTCACGGTCTGAGCGTGCTCCGCCCCCCGCGGCCTCCTTCGCCCCTCCTCCTCGCCCGTCCTTCTCCTGCTGTGCCAGATTTGAGCCCAGTGCGTCACGCGGCTGCCCCGACCGCGTCCTGGACCCAACTCGCCGCGGGCGACGACGCTTTCGTGGGATTTGTCGAGCGCTGGTCGCGCGAGGCTGGCCCCGCGGACGGGGGGGCCGTGGTCGACTGCATGGCTGGGCGCGTCCGTCTTGCTCCAGGGCTCGAGCTCGATGGTGTCTTGGCGGTGTCGTGGACCGTTTTCGTTTCGACCTCTTTCTCGTGGTAAAGGCAGAACGACGGCAGAACGAAGGAGCAACGAAATCATAACACATACGAACAACACTGTTTAGTTCCGCACATAGGAACAACGAAGTCATAACAAATACGAACAGCACTGTCTAGCTCGAGCCCTGCCTCGTCTGTGGCTCCGCCCAGGAAGTCCTGGCCGGAGCGCGCCTCTGGAGAGGCCCAGGCGCCGATCCTTGAGGAGGAGGGGCCTGGGCCTCGGGTGACTCGCTGAGAGTTCGCGCCGGAGGCCCTTCGCCGCGGCCGGGCGGTCGCACTTGGGCGCACAGTGACGCAGTGGCGCCAGCAGCTTCGGAAACGCGTCGCCCGTGTGATTTGTCTTTTTCAAGGGGCGGGCAAAAGAGGAGCCGGGGGAGGAGGAGGAGGAGGAGGAGGATGATAATAAGATGCAGGAGGAGGAGGAGGAGGAGGAGGAGGAGGAGGAGGAGGAGGAGGAGGAGAAGAAGATGAAGGACGATGATGATCAGATGATGAAGGAGGAGGAGGAGGTGGAGGAGGAGGAGAAGGAGGATGAGGAGGAGGAGGAGGAGGAGGAAGAGGATGCGAAGGCATTTGGCTTTGTGATTGTAGGAGGCCGCCGGCGCCACGCCGGGCAGATGGCGACTCCCAGGAAGTGGAGCGCCGGCCCGAGAACGACCCCGCACTCGCCGCGGAGCTCGTGTGCAACGCTGGAGCCAGGCTGTGAGCACCTGCGTAGCTCGCACGTGTGGGGTGCATCCCCGCTCTGGATATGTCGTCCCTGCGCTCTGGGCTGCCGTCGCCTGCCCCTCGGCCTCCTCTTCCACCTCTGCTCCCTCGTGTCCGCGTGGTCCTCCGCCCTTGTTGCAGCAGGGGCACGGTATTCCTGCAGAGCTACCCATCGCTGCCAAGCAGGTTTAGCAAATCCCTGGGACCAGATTTCGGCGTTAAGGCTGTCAAGTCTCTTTCGGCGGTGCGTCCAGGGGGGAAGTGAGAAGGAGCAGGCCTTCTCAGAAGGCGGTGGGGCTTTTCAGAGCCCTGCGCGCCTTCTGAGAGGTTTTCGGGGTCTTCGGAGGAGGCTCAGAGCAACTTTTCAGAGGGAGGCCTTCCGAGCCCTCTGGGAAGGCCCGCCCCTCCTCACCTTCCCCCCCCCCAGGCGCGCCGCCAGCCTTTTCTCGCCGGAAGAGTATATCCCCGCCCTGGATGATGACGATGTCCGGTGTGTTCGGCCGCCAGATCTTGGCTTATCGGCCGCCAGATCGTGGCTTACCTCGCGCGCCATCCGACCTCCGAGCCGAGAAGCGGCGCCTGGGTTCGCCTAGCTGGCGGGAGGATAAGACAGGGAGAACGAGGAGGATGGCGAAGAGGGAGGAGGAGGAGGAGGAGGAGAAGGAGGAGGAGGAAAATGGGGGAGACGAAGGAGGATCGGGGGGAGGAGGAGGAGGAGACGGACGGCGAAGAGGAGGAGGAGGAGGAGGCGCAACAGAGGGCGGGAGGATGGCCTCCGCCAGGGCGAAGAGGAAAAAACGATGAGCAAGCTACGTTAGGTTCGCGTCGTGTCGACCAGCGGCGACCCCAGCGCGGGCGTTCAAGGTTGAACGCCGCCGGCGACCCAGAATCGATCGATGTTGAACGATCGGACGTTGCGGCAGCGGCCAATCGTTCAAGGTTGAACGATCCCTGCGGTGTCAAAAACCAACGCTGGGGTCGGCACGACACGAACCTGCCGTAACGAGATTCTCGTGTGGGGTCTTACAGTGGGAGTAATTTCAATTCAAGTGCTCCTCTCAGGGCTCGCATCCTGTTTCTTCAAGGGAAAGCTGGGTGTCACCAAACTGTGTGGTTGACTCCCGCTTTGCAACAACAGCTGCTCCCGCCTCATACTTCTTCCAATTTATTCCAAAATCGCGCTCTCGCGCTGGACGTCCTCACAATTTATGCAGACATCGCGCTCTCGTGTGGTACTACCTCGCAATTTATTCAGACGCCGCGCCCTCGACATTCAGGAAGAATCACGCTCTCGCTTTGGCCTTTCTCACAGTTTACTTGGGAATGGCGCTATCTGTTAGGGTCTAACCGCCCGTTAGGGTCTACCCGCCTGATCTGCCCGTCTGGTTCTGCCACGTGTTTTCTCCTCCTAGACCCCCTCCTTCTGATTTCTCTCGTGCTCCATCCTTCTCCCTCCCCTTCTATCCGTCCTCTCTTCCCCTGTTCTAAGTACTGCGCTAAACACGCGTGGCAGATAAGGAATCTATACCCCCAAGGTAGTACGTTCGAAAACGAAGAGGGTGGGTACAGAAGCTTGATAATACCTACACGACCACCCTTCGGGTGATAAGGAGGTTGTGGGGGGGGGGAGAGGGGGGGAACCAACATCTGACTCAATCGATCTCACTATCGATCTCACTCAACGAGACACCGCGGGACACCACGGGACACCACGGGACACTTGTCGATCTCACTATCGATCTCACTATCGATCTCACCCAACGGGCCACCACGGGCCACCACGGGCCACCACGGGACACCACGGGACACCACGGGACACTCTCGATCTCATTATCGGTCTCACTATCGATCTCTCTATCGATCTCACTCAACGGGACACCATAGGACACCAAAGGACACCATAGGACACCTCGGGACACCACATCGATCTCACTACATATCGAGCTCACTATCGATCTCACATCGATCTCACTCAGCGGGACACCACGGGCCACCACAGGCCACCACGAGGCACCTGTCGATCTCACTATCGATCTCACTATCGATCGCACTCAACGGGCCACCACGGAACACCACGGGGACACCTCGGGGCCACCGCCAGACGGGTGGGACGGGGAGAATCATTTGTCTAGACTTCGCCTTGGCAACGGCGGGTTCATTCCTCTTGCGCGCCCGCGCAGTTTCGCCTCGCCCGCACGCACGACACGAACGAAAGGAAACGATATCCCGGTTGGGGGTCTCCGTTCCATTGCGATTTCACCCCCCAACCTCCGATACGTGTTGAATGGCACGCGGACGGGTAGGAGCGAACAGTCTTAAAATGATTATTGTTGTTAATGCCGTCGTCGTCGTCGTGGTTGTCGTTGTCGTTGTTGTTGTTGTTGTCGTTGTTGTCGTCGTCGTCGTCGTCGTCGTCGTCGTCGTTGTTGTTGTTGTTGTTGTTGTTGTTGTTGTTGTTGTTGTTGTTGTTGTAATGGTGTTTGTTGTTGGTGTTGGTGTTGCTGTTGTTGTTGGTGTTGGTGTTTCTGGTTTTCATTCTTTAAGATTAAGTATGGTTGATCCTCCCCACCGGTGCAATGTATTTTTCAATTGAGGTGAACCCCTTGGGGCTCGCACCCTATTTTTCATCAGGGGAAGTCTTCCTGCTCAAGCTGGGCCCTTGGCCCCAGGCTACAACAACAACGTCTCCCGCCTGATATTCCCTCACAATTTATTCCGAAATCGCGCTCTCGATCTGGAGTTCCGAACCATTGATGCAGACATCGCGCTCTGGCGTGGGATTTCCTCTCAATTTATTCAGACATCGCGCCCTTGACACTCAGGAATCACGCTCTCGCTTTGGCTTTTCTCGCGATTTACCTGGGAATCACGTTATCGCTCGAGACTCTGTTGCGATTCAGGCGGGACTCACGCTTCAGCAGCCGGCCTGCTTGCTCGACCTGGCCGCCTGGGCTCGCCCGACACGCCCGCCAGCGTCTGCCCGCCCGATCTGCCCGTCTGGTTCTACGACGCGTTTTCTG